CAAGTCGGGTAGGGTCTCTTCACCACTTCCGACACCCGATTTTTATTACTGGGGGCGGGGGGGGAGAGTGTTCTTCGAGATTTTTCTTTTAAATATGCAGTAAACATAAGCATGCGAGAAGAGAGAAAAAAATGAACTTAATTTTTTTTTCTTTTGGGAATGGAGATTCGTTTTTGAACTTTTCTCGATAAGACTGAGAAATTAAGCAACAGTAACCATCAAGAAGAAAAATGGTAAGTTTTATAGAATTCTTATGAATGTCTTTCATTGAAAGTAATTTCTAGAAATTCAGTCAAGGGAAAGAAAACTGCATGGAAATATCAATGGCAAGGCAGTGAAAAATGGTTCTAAACAAAATGAGAAATAAGCAGCATTACTTTTTAAGTTATGTTTTGAGAGAATTTTCCTTTTATAGAAAGAGATTGGCCCTAGCCGGCTTGCTCAGTGGTTAGAGCATCGGCCTGCGGACTGAAGGGTCCCAGGTTCGATTCCGGCCATGGGCACATGCCTGTGTTGCGGGCTCAATCCCCAGTGCGGGTGTGTGCAGGAGGCAGCCAATCAATGATGCTCTCTCATCATTGATGTTTCTATCTCTCTCTCCTCCCTTCTTCTCTGAAACCAGTAAAGAAATATATATATAAAAAAGAAAAAAAAAAGAAAGAGATTGACTACAAGGTAGGTAGAGCTGAAAAGGGAGAGTAGGCGGAGCAGAAGGGCTTAGCCCTGGTATAATTTTAACTGGAACCCTTTGCTCTGTATTTAAGGGGGGCAACTAGAGCTTGAAGTGGAAAACAGCAATGAGCAATGACCCCCATCCCTCTCCCCAACACACACGCCTGCTTTCTATCGCCAACCTAGCCATTTTCTCTGACTGCTAGATACTAACCTAAAATGAGCAAGGAAGCCCCAGAATAATGATTTTCCTTCTTTTGGGAATGGGATAACAAAAGGAGTATTCACCGAAGCAACAGAGAAAACAAACAAAAAACAAAAATAGAGTACTATGGGGAAAAAAGACTGTGGTTACCTCTGCACAATTAGAATCTAGAAACACAGATGCTTCTTATGTCCTGCCTTTGGTCGAGAAAGGAATTTTTAACCTTGTCCCTCATAATTAAATTACATAAGGGAAAGGGTGGAAACAATGTTTTGAAAGTCATTCTCATACCCTTTTTCAATAACTATTAACGATGGTGAATGCCATTTAAATAAGTAATTCTAACATTACCATTGTTTTTGTTTTTATTGATGAAAAATTCAAACTTAAAATAATTATTTCAATCAAAATATTTGCTCCGCAATTTTTTAGCATAGACGCCATTTTACCCTAACATATATTTATCTCCTGGAGCTTTTTTTCTACTGCTGAAGTAAATTTTAAAGGATTACAGTTTCTCTAAGAGCTGCTTTGTGGACAGGTCATCTCTGAAATAGTATTTCTGTTTTTATTTACATTGTCTTTAATGTCTTTAATATCTAGTTAGGGAAGTCATACAGTGCATAAAGTCACCTGAAGAAATCTCATTTGTTCTCACATTCTGTCTCCTTTTTAGTCGGTGACACTGCATACAGATGTAGGTGATATTAAAATAGAAATCTTCTGCGAGAGGACACCCAAAGCATGTGAAGTGAGTACCGTTATAAACAAACACAAAATGAGTTAATGCAGCAGGATAACCATTTTGAAACTGACTGATCTAAAAAGCCAACAATGTCCCAAAAAACCCAAAACACTTTTGTATGAAACCACTGTCAGGAAAAACCAGCCATCATCATCTCTGGCCTGATTTCCACTTACCTTTCCTGATATGGAAGGGCAGATAGGGTGGCTGGCATCTTTTCCTTTTGGCTCATTTTCCTTAGGAAACATAAGTAATCATTAGATATCAGGTAAGAGAACTGTATGTTACAGTATTTCACTTGTTTAAATGACAAGGATAGAAGGAAGAAAGTCAGCTATGCTATTTACTCATTCAATAGTTACTCGTGAAAGGCTGTCTTGACAGTGTTTGGAAACAACAGTGATGAACAGGACACATTCCTTGCCCTTGTGGAGCTAATATTCTAGGTGGGGAGATAAATAGGGGGGAGGGAATTTATTCTAGAAAAAACTAATTCTAGAGCGTGATAATGCCTTGAAGGAAATAAAATGTTGAGATAGAGAATAATGGGGAAGGAATTATTTAAAAGAAGGTGAGGGCAGGGCTAGCCAAGAAAGGGATACTACTTAAACTGAGTGTGAAAGGGAATGAAGGCATCTCCATGAAAAGATATAAAAAGAACATTCCAGGCATAGAGATGGTAGGTACAAAGGCCTCAAGGTAGGAGAGCCTGCCTCTGTGGGATGAATTTTCAGAAGGCTGTTGGGGTTAACATCGTGAGCCACAAGGGAGGGCTCATTATCAAGAGATGTAGAGGTAGGCCCTGCTTAGGAGTTTGTATCTTATTCCAAAACCCGGAGGAAGCCATGAAAGTGCTTTAGTCAGGGAAGCAACATCATCCAAAGTAATGCCTAAAAGACATAGTTTAAATATGCTGTTATAGTATTTTTGGTAAATACACTTAGTTCTTTACCTTAAGTGTTTCTGCTACATGATTTCTCAATCATTGTTTTTTACTCTCTTCAGAATTTCTTGGCTCTCTGTGCCAGTAATTACTACAATGGCTGTATATTTCATAGAAATATCAAGGGTTTCATGGTTCAAACAGGAGACCCCTCAGGTAAGTTATCCCATTAATATCTAGAGAATTAATGGTATATAGTATGAAGAGGGTGGGGGGATAGACAAAATAGAAAAATAAAAGCACATGGAGTATTTATAATTGGGCTACCTTATAATAGTAAGCAGTATTTAAGCTGAAGCTACTAGCACCAAGCTCTAAAAGACGAATATTGATAAGGAGAGTTTTTGTTTTTTTGTAGAGATATTTTATTTTTCTGGTTTATAAAGTGAAATTTTGGGATGTAAGAGAGGACATATCAAATTTTATTTGTACTTTAAGAGTTACAAAAAGCCCTGAAGTTTTAGAAAATAAAGCCTTTCTCTAATTATATTTTTTTTTTATTTGTCTTGTAATATAGGTACCGGAAGAGGAGGTAACAGCATCTGGGGCAAGAAATTTGAGGATGAATACAGTGAATATCTTAAGGTATGTCCCCAAGCTTTAAAATTATTTTTTCATGCCATGTATACACTTGGAAACTTTGATACATTTGTTGTAGTAACACAAGTTAATATCACAAGTGAACATATATACCCACTCTTTTTGTAGTTTCTGCACACTTGATAAATGATATCAGGGGGAAAATATAAATGGCAGTTCTAGCCTAAAATACATGCTGGAATCTCACCATCACATGGATGTTGATATTAAGTGAGCTCATCTTTGGGTCCGGCCTGAAATGTTTAATCAGCAACATACCAAAGGGGCCTACATGTCTCACTATAAAATTCTTGTTGGATGACATGAACCATTGGCCTTTTTTGAGAATGGGGAGACCTCCTGGTTGCAATATTGCCATTATCAATATCCAACTTTTATCATCTGTTAGATGTTTAAATATCCCTATGTTAACGTTACTTAATGCCTGAGGTAGATTTCAGCAACGTTAAAAGAGAAGTGCATGTAAATATATCGTTAGCATGTAAAATTAGGGATTTTAATTTTCTTTATCATATTATTTGTAAAACTTTCTAAAGATTTTTTTTTTTTTTAATTAAAAAACTGATGCATACCTATTTTAAAAATTCAGCCGTGGCCATGTGGCTCGGTTGGTTGAGTGTCAACACTTGCACTAAAAGGTCACTGGTTTGATTCCTGATCAAGGACACGCCCTGGTGGTGGGCTCGATCTCCTGTCGGGGTGTACGTGGGAAACAGCCAATTGGTGTTTCTCTCTCCCCCCGCCCTCTCCCTTTTGCTCTCTAAAACAAAAAATAAAACCACTTCCCAGAGATGACATTAATTAACAGTTTATTATGTTGTCTTTTAAACTTTGTATCTGCACAGAGTGATAACTTCATAATTTGAAAAAGAGAGGCAAATAAACAAGAGAGACAAATTCCCCTCAATCAGAATATGTAATTTAGTATATTATATTTCAGTTACATTAGAATATACCGTGGATTTTCTGGAAAAAAAATTAAATTGCAGTATTTACCTCTGGATAGTTAGGCTAGGAGTAATTTATTTTATCTTTTTGCTTTTCTATCATAAAGAAATACTACCCTTGTTACAGAGTTGAGGTTAGGAAGTGATACATTATTTTAAAAATCATTCTTTCCTGAATTAGAAACAAAACAACCTTTTAGACATTAATTAATGGCAGTTTTCATAACACTGATCTGTAATCCTAAACCAGTGGTTTTCAACGTTGGCTGCTGTTACAGACTCACTAGTGGAAGTTTTAAAAATATAAAAAAGTAGCCCTAACCGGTTGCTAAGTGGATAAAGCATTTGCTTGGGGACTGAAGGGTCCCGGATTTGATTCTATTCAAGGACACATGCCTGGGTTGCAGGCTCAATCCCCAGTGGGGGACATGCAGGAGGGAGTCGATCAGTGATTCTCTCTCATCATTGATGTTTTCTCTCTCTCCCTCGCCCTTCCTCTCTGAAATCAATAAAAATATATAAAATAGAATAAAAAAGTAGGACCTTACCTCCTTCTCCTCCCCCTCTCCCAAATATAGGGAAAAATCATCAGTAGGACCGATCAGGACCTTGATTATATTTTAAGGTTCCCTGTTAATTCCTACAATAGCCTAGATCACCTAGTCCTGGGGTTATGAACTGACTGCCAATGGGTGAAGACCCATAGATGCATTCTATATGGCCATTAGTTAAAAAAAAAAATTTAAAGACATTGGCCCAGAACCTAGACACAGAAACTGGCCACAGAACCTAGCGAGAGAACCTGGCTGAAGAACCTAGAGACAGAACCTGGCTACAGAACCTAGATAGAACATGGCAAGAGAACCTGACTAGAACCTGGTGACTGAACCTGGCTGGAGAACCTGGACAGAACCTGGCTGAAGAACCTAGTGAGGGAACATGGCTACAGAACCTGGCTGGAGAACTTAGCAAGAGAACATGGACACAGAACCTAGAGAGAGAACACAGAACCTAGAGACAGAACCTAGCGAGAGAACATGGCAAAAGATCCTGGACAGAAACTGGCTACAGAACCTAGCAAGAGAACCTGGCTGAAGAACCTAGAGACAGAACCTGGCTACAGAACTTGGATAGAACATGGCAAGAGAACCCGGCTATGATGATCACCTGAATGCTGCCTCTGTGTCATTCCTTCTTCGCCGACTCCGTCCACACCTTTGGGGACCCCTGGACCTGCTGGGGTTGGACCCCAGCATCTGGCGCCCGAACAGGGACCCTTAGAGAGGAATAGAGAGGGAGAAAGAAACATCAATGATGAGGGAGAATCATTGACCAGCTGCCTCCTGCACGCCTCACACTGGGGACAGAGCCCACAACGCAGGCATGTGCACTGACTGGGAATCGAACCTTGCATTCCTGGTTCACAGATGCTCAACCACTGAGCCATGCCAGCTAGGCTCTCATATGTATTTTTAAAAAATTATTTCTAACCAACATTTCCAAAAAATGTGAAAATGCTCTGTAATTATGGACTTTTTACTTTCTCCTCTCAATGTTCCTTTGGTTATGCCTTCAGGCCTATTTGCCCTTGGGTTTCTACTTCATTCATCTAATAAATATGTGTTTCTTTCCTACTAAAAAAAAATAAAAAAATAAGACATTGGGCAAGAGATATATTATTCCTTTAGCCAGGTTCCACCACTCCCTAATGTTTACATTCTGCCCACTCATCAACTTACTATCTGCTGACCTTTGTGAGCATTTGAATTATGAGTAAACCCAGAACTAGTCCAAACTCCCTTGTTTTACAGATAAACTAGCCAGAGTCCAGTGTGTGTGTGAAGAGATTATGGGGATTTTGGTTTTATTGTCTGCCTGATCATTTCATTCCAGCATAACATAAATGTAAGGATTATTTCTATTATACATTGGTACTACTTAAAGTGTTTGTGGCTATATGTCTCCAAAGTGAAAATGAAATTAATTGGGGGATATGATTTGATATATAAACAATATAAGTTGTCAGTGATACAGATAATACAGCAACTGAATATTTGGGTTTGCCCAAATTGAAGCTGATTAAATGTTTTCTTGGTTCCTTAAATATTGGGAGGTTAAAGAGTGCATGTCTTGTTTTAGTCCAGTATTTGGAATATTTATTTAAAAACATAGATAAATTAATACTTTGGATTGTCTTTTGCAGCACAACGTTAGAGGTGTTGTATCTATGGCTAATAATGGCCCAAATACCAATGGATCTCAGTTTTTCATCACCTATGGCAAGCAGCCACATTTGGACATGAAATACACAGTATTTGGAAAGTGAGTATCCTGGTTATGATATTCGTCTTTGGAATTTCATTGCAAAAGGATGCATATGAGTGGCTGTGATAGTAGCATAACTGATATGGAAAGTGCATTCTAAGAGCTAAACTTACCTGGAATGTAAGCCCACCATTTAACCTGCCCTATGACCTTGGGAAATTATAACCTCTCTCAGCTTATTTCCTGATTTTCTCCAAGACAGGTTAATATGTTTTTTCTGGTCCATTATGGAAATTAACAATAATATGTCTTTTCATTGAGATAGCATTTTACAGCAACTAACAGATCTGAAAAACAGTGGCTTAAACAAGACAGACTGGGACGGTCCTTTTCTCTTAAGGATACTGTAATTGCTATACATATATGCATATTGTGTTTCAATCAGAAAATTTTCATCCATTATATTATTTCTCTTTCAGGGTAATAGATGGTCTGGAGACTCTAGATGAATTGGAGAAGTTACCAGTAAATGAGAAGACATACCGACCTCTTAATGATGTACACATTAAGGATATAACTATTCATGCCAACCCATTTGCTCAATAGTTATAATAGGCATGGACAAATACTTGGCAGACTATTTGAGGAACACACCTATTGTGGTTTACCCAGCTTGAATTATGTAAGAGATTGTATCATCCTGCTTGTTTACAACTAAGATCTTCTGAGTCCGTGGTACCAAGGGGAACCAAATAACTTATACTCTTATGATTGAGCATATATTCTTTACTATAACTATATCCAATGTATTTAAGTTTAATTTTTTTAAAAAAATGTTTACCTTTTGTTACATAAAAACAATTATTTTTAAATGCTGAGTTTCAAATCAGTCATTTTTGAGCAGCCTAATTATAAACTTCTATATCTGGTCTTTAGATTTATAATAGGGGCTCAGAGATATCCTAGAGTCCAGTAAACACTCAAAATTTCCCAACCGAGCCAAAACCGGTTTGGCTCAGTGGATAGAGCGTCCGCCTGCGGACTGAAGGGTCCCGGGTTCGATTCCGGTCAGGGGCATGTGCCTGGGTTGCGGGCACTTCCCCAGTGGGGGATGTGCAGGAGGCAGCTGATCGATGTTTCTCTCTCATCGATGTTTCTAACTCTCTCTCTCCCTTCCTCTCTGTAAAAAATCAATAAAATATATTTTAAAAAAAAAATTTCCCAACCGATTTGCCCATGGAACATTTTTTAAAAACATATCTTTTAAAATATGGCAGGATAAAGTTCGACAGATGATCCATTTGAAAAATGCAATTAGTTGGTTAAGAACACCAGTTTTAGAGTTCTGTCTGCGTTTGAATCACAGCTCTATTCTCTGCTAGTAACTTTAGGCAAATTAACTTACCAAGCTTTAGTTTTCTTATTCATAAATAATATTCCCTCATAGACTATGGTGAGGATTAAAAGAAATTATGTTTGTAAAGCTTCTGGCATGTCATGTTCTGTATTAAGTAATGGAAGCTGTTTTATTTATCTCCACTAGAGCACTACTTAACCAGGTCATTTATCAGACTCTGCTGTTGATTTTATCAAGAATGTTTTCCACTTACTGCCTTGATTAGATTTTGGGTATTCCTAAAACTAAGCATTTTTTGTTTTGTATTATTTTTGCTGATGGCTGATGAAATGTTTTGGTTCTTTCTTAATTACAGTTTGGGAGTTAAGCTTGTAGCTGTCCTCTGGTTACCATCTATACCTCCCACTAAACTGAGGCACCAATTATACTAATGTTCTCACATTTTTGTTTCAGCCTTTTAACCATTTAGGTTTCTGGAATTAGTATGAAAGGCCCTTTTGGCCACAGTTTGTTTTACACTTCTTATTCCTGATCTCTTTCTTCTCCAAACATGTCATTGAATTTTTGTCATCACTTTTAAGAGGCTTTTACTCATTGTCAGGATGTTTTGGTACTGACTGGCATTCCCTCAATTTTTATTTTAAACGCTGCCATTTTTTAAAGTAGTACCACTATGGTCACTTTTGGGCTCCTTCTTATAAAGTCAGCTCGGTTATAGCCGAATAGGTAGGGCGGTATCCTGGCTGCCCACCTTGAGGGCAAAATCCAGAATAATGACTTCTGTCCACTCCCACTGATTTCACGTTAGTGTTTGGGGGATGGATGTTCCGTGTGTTGCACTACAAAGACGACTATAATATTGCTGACCAACCAAAATTCTCTTTAAAAGGAGAGGAATATCTAAATCAGAAGTTGGCGAAACAAATGACGCCTTCTTGGAACGCAGTCCCAGTCCGTTATGTATTGTCTGGCTGGTTTGTGCTACAGCAGCAATGCCGCTTGGTAGTGACAGAGATCGTACCTGGCCCTTTAGGGAAATTTGCCAGCCTTGACCTGCACTGAGAGATGAGAGATCTAGGTGTGTGCAGGGGGGTGCGTGGATGCCTCTCTGGCTTGTAGGTGACCCTGTTCTGTCTTCACGTGGTCTTTGTGTGTGTGCCTGTGTCCAATCTATGATAATAAAAGCGTAATATGCTAATTAGACCTGACGTCCTTCTAGACGACCTTCGGGATGAAGCCAGGGTTGAGGGAAGCCCCTGGTGTCTTGAGTGCCAGAGGGAAGCCAGTGCCGGCAGCCGGGGGAAGGCCTACTTTTGCACTGCATCGGACCTCTAGTCTCTATAAGGAAAGACACCAGTCCCATTGGATTAGGTCCCACCCTAGTGACCTCATTGAACCTTAACTGCCTCTGTAAAGGTCCTGTTGACAGTCACCTGTGAGACAGTGGCTGCTATTAGTAAAATTAATTGGGAACACACTCCCCCCTCAGCCCACACATAATGTGCGCTAAAGAACACACTTTTCCTCGTCTCCAGGTTCACAAATACAATCTTCAGTGAGCACAGACGAGACTGTTCTCGCTAACACTTTCAGTGCTTCCCCATTGTCCGACGCTGACCCTGGCCAACATGGTCGCCGGCGCAGCTTCCCCGTCACCTTCAGTAGCGCCTCTCGAGCCCCGGCGCCTGCGCACACGGGGCCCCGCGCCCGGCTCCCCCTCCTGCGCATGCGCCCCTGCACCTGCGCACGCCCCGCCCGGGGGCGGAGCCTCGCCGTAGCGTCACCAGTGTTTTTCAGAAGAGCCCTGACGCAGCGGCTGTCAGCTCCATTTTGCGGTCGGAGCCCGTCCAGCCCGCAGGGCCTTCTCCGCTGTCGCGTTAGCTTTGTCTCCTTCGGCTTCGACTCTCTGGCCAGGACGGTAAGCGCGGGGGTAGGCTGGCTGGTGTCAGGGCCCCGTG